CCTGATACAAAAATAAAACAAAACAAAAAAACCCCAAAAACGTTAAACAACAGTAATGACATATTAACGACTGAAATTGTGATATGATATATTTGGTTTTAAAATTAACACAAAGAAAGTACAACGAGGCAGGAGGAGTGTGAGGCATGCACAGGTCACAGGCCTGGGATCCAGCCCAGGTAGGATGCTATCCTTGAGGTCCCACCTTAGCATGAAGTTGTGATGCCCCCACAGCCCTCCCAGCCACCAGTGACCTGTGAGGATGGGAGCTGCCTGAAGCCTCTGGCACAGCCCCACCCCCATTCAGGCCTCCAAGCCATCAGCAACCAAAGCCCACCCTCTTCATGGCTGGGCCTGTCTGGATCCACAATGAAGAGGCACAGGGGATCTTAAACGTCATTGTCCTGAGCTCCAGAAGATAGGGTAGAAGTAAAGAACAGTAAGAGGACCTTACTACTGTAAGTCCCCATCCAAAAGGGTAAAGTTACTTTATTGAACAGTTTATTCACTGTAAACATATTTTGAGCTAGTCCTCGATTTTTATTTTACACAGTTAAAGTTGATAGATTAGTAACTACTACAAATTGTCATTTTCTAAGCTGTGCTTGATTCTATTCTTGTTGCTGATTGTATCACTTGGGCTAGTGTTGTGATTGATCTAATCAGTTATCCTTCCTGGCATAACGAAAATGAGATAGCCCGAAAATCATTAGAGACTCAAAAACCTAAAGACCAGCTATATATGAAAGATACCTCTGAGAAGTAATCACTCCATTCCATAAGGGTTCTAAATACAAGCATCAAAGATACTTAAAATAACAATACTTACAGCAACCAATATCAAAGTATTAACCCAGGAATTAAATCAAGGATTGTAACAACAATAGAAATGAAAAGACATTTAAGCAAGACAGTCTTTCAGCTTACCAAAGGCAAATTCTGGGGGAAGTGAGGTGGAAAAGGCTGATAACCACCTGGACACCCTGAACTGATAGCACAGGAAGTAACAAAATGGATCAATCAGGCTTTAGAAAAATTCAAAACAGAAATAATTTGCCAGATAACTACAGAGATGATGAGTAGAATAAAAGACATGATTAGAGGGGCCAGGGATTTAGCTCAGCAGTTTGGTGGCCTGCCTTGCCAAGTGCAAGGATCCGAGTTCAATCCCTGGTACCAAAAAAAAAAAAAAAAAAAAAAAAAAAAAA